CTGAACGTCCTAACTTGGAAATTTAGTGTCATCCCTCATTATTGCTGGAGGAAAACCTTGGAACGCCCTTCTTAATAGCACTATGGCTATATCCACACCACATGGAATGTAGCGGTTCAACAAGGCAATTTAATGCCACATCCTCAAGGGCAATTAAGGATGGACAATAAGCACTGTAGTTCCCAACGACTGCAATATTCTATAAATAAATAAAAAGAAGCTGATTTTTTTGATCCCTGCCCATTTATTTTCCAGCCTTACTTTCTTAAAGGCACTTGCTTAAGATGGGGCTAAGGTTCAATCAGTAGCAATCATCCTCTGGAAACTTGAGTGAAAATTCATGCATTACCCTAATTGTCAACAGGCTATGTGATTGTAAAGACCATTACAACGAGATGTGATCTTATTCGCATCCACAAATTGAACAACTTTCAGAACATTGTATTGCCGTTAGAAAACCGATGGAAATGGGCAAATGACGCTTATGGCTCATCTCAGATCACTCCCTGTTGAGAAGTTAAAATTGCCTCACACTTGTTCGAGCAGAGGCCATTTGACACTCTCTAGGCAGGAGCCATTGCTGACTTTACTTCTAATCACCTGCATTTATATAGCAACCTTATATAGGTAAACGGTGTTTCATGGGAGCATTATCGTACAAAATGTTAGACGCAGACACTAAACAACATGTTTGCATAAGTGAGAGAAGGACATGGGGTTGTTGAGGAAGGGAATTCAAGACCTTTAGGCAGCTGATAGCACAGCCACTAATGTTGGAGTGATTAAGATTGGAGTTATCAAGGGCTGGGGTTAGAGGAGCATAGAGATTTCAGACTGCTGTTCTGTCGGGGAAGGATATAGAAACAGCACGCAGGGATCTGAAAACATGATGCAGAGGACTCTGTCCTGTAGCTACAGCCAACACAACCAAGGGAATGAAAAACAGTGGAGACCATCAGTCAAATTGGATTCATGTGGCTGAGTTCCATATTGGCAGGGCATGTCCCAATTTGGACAGACAAGGTATCCCAGTTGGCAAGTCAAGTCAAAACTGAATCATCTTAAACCTTATCTGGGGGAAATGTCACAGCCAAACAAATGGAGGCAGAGAAGGTAATCAGTGGGCCAGTCCCCAGTACAAGACCACAATAACTTAACAAATGGCATGGGTGCAGAGAGAGATGAAATTTTTAATTGGAGACTGCCGCCCCACAGTCACCAACTTTCATATATAAAACAGGACATTAGCAACAGAGGTCAGTGGGAGAGGAAACTTTAGTAATTCCTTGCACAGTAAAGGCCCCCGTGACACCATTTTCAGGTGGGACTTTAATTATAGAATCCTTACAGTGTAGAAGCAGGCCATTCAGCCCATCAAGTCCACAACAACCCGCCAAAGAGCCTCCCAGCATTCCCCATGGCAAATCCACCTAGCCCACACATCCCTGTGACACTACAGGGAAACTTAGCATGGCCAACACAGCAGGCCAGACAGCATCAGATGAGCAGGAAAGCTGACGTTTCGGGCCGGGACTCTTCTTCAGAAAAATGAAGGGTCCCGACCCAAAATGTCAACTTTCCTGCTCCTCTGATGCTCCCTGGCCTGCTGTGTTCCTTCAGCTCCACACTTTGTTATCTCTGACTCCAGCATCAGCAGCTCTTACTATCTCTTGGCATGGCCAATCCACTCAACCTGCACATCTTTGGACAATGGGGTGAAACTAGAGCACCCAGAGGAAACCCACGTAGACACAGGGCAAATGTGCAAATTCCACACAGACAATCACCTGAGGCTGGAATTGAACCCAGGGACCCTACCCCTGTAAGGCAGCAGGGCTAACCATTGAGCCACCATGCCTGACTATTTCAGGTTAAAAGCTGTTTAAATATGGAAATCAAAATCCAAGGATACAAACACAATCCTCTCACATTTGGTCCTGATCTGAAATCTTTATAAGGCACCACTCGTGGCAGCTCCAAAAAAGGGTTACAAAGCATTTTTGTATCTTTTTTGCTTCATTGGGACAGGAGCAATTGGATGTTCTCTTTGTTGTTTACAGGTAGTTCTCCTATAACATGATAGTTGTGTTCTTATGTGACCTCACGCTATAGAAAACCACCATAGAAAATCGCATTATAGGGAAATCGCTACAGAAAATTGCTATACTGTACAGGAGAAAGTTCGCAATATCCAAACAGTATCCACTATTCATCAATTGTGTAACAGCCAATTTGCGTTAATGAAACACACATTATAGCAGAACTCCCTGTAAATTGAATTGTTCAATCCATTTTCTTTTCTAATGTGTTGCCTGTGTGCCTACCAGTATTTATACATAAATAATATATAAATATGTATAAAATATAGTAAAGCATCCAACTTCTTTGATCTCAACCACTTTCACTGACCCGCACCCAACAGTGCATTTTGTTGCAAAGGCTATTGGAACTCAAGACAGTGAGTTCTCTCTTGTCCAGTGTTGCCCAACCTCAGCTGGATCCAATCCTCTGGTGGAATGCAACCCACTTGGGACTTTCCCCACATTTCCCCTCCAACTCCCAAAACAGTGTCTCGAAGAGTTCAGGAGTTTAATGAGCAGGTTGAGATTACTGATAAACTAGTTCCTCAGTACAGTGGCAGGGGGTACTGCAAGCCAACTCAAAATAAATAACAGTAAGAGGTATCTTAAAGATTGCAAATTTCACAGATAATATCTTAAAACCCTAAAGTGAATGGTTTTTTCTGCAGAAGCATTTGAAGCTTAATGTGACCTGTCAGTCTGGTCTGGGTTACTTTGCTCCCTGGCAGCGCTCACAATTTGCAATGGGTCTAGAGCAAAAAAAAGCAATAAAAGCTGACTTTAATGCATCTCAAATGTTATGGTCAGACAGGGAAAATAAAAACAACATGTAATGCCGATGGATAAGGAAAATGCTGATGGCTGCAAACTGGGAGAAGGCTGAAGCCACCCTGTTGATTAACAGGGAATGTGCAAATAACTGGGTCACGACGGAACTTTGCCAAAGAAAGCAAATTAGGATAATGGAATTGTTTTTCAACACGACACTTTCTATAAGGTGACTGTTATGAGAACCATTTCATCAGAAAGGTCTCAAAAGCCAATGAACCAGCAAAGTCTCACTGCCCAAAAGGTACAGCAACATCTTCTTGAGAGCAATATTTCAATTCAGTCGTTTCCTACTTGCAATATTTTTATGAGGTACAAAGAAAGGGAGGAAAAGAGGACAACATGTGATCCAATTGTTTTTTTCAAAACAGGTGATCAAACAGGAGTTCCTTATCTGAGGAAGATTGAGATCCACCATGAACACATAACAAAATGACAGAAAATGACGAGCTACAATACTCAATGGAAAACTAAATCAACACGAGATCTGTAGAAGTGACTGACCTCTGAACTTCTCAAAGCCTGCCCACTATCTACAAGGCACAAGATTGTGATTCAATAATCTCCACTTGAATGGATGAGTGCAGCTCCAACTGCAACCTGCACAACAGGAGCCAACTTGATTGGACTCCAACCCATCACCTTAATCATTCACTCCCTTCACCATTGGCGCACCAAGTCTGCAATATATACCATCTACAAGGTGCACTGCAGCAACTCATTAAAGCTTTTCTGACAGTGTCTCACAAGCCCTTTACCACTAAAAGGGCGAGGACAGCAACAACATCCCCAGGAAGTTCCTCCAAAAGTCGCAAGCCACCTTGACTTGAATATAGAGTGCCTTCTTTTATTCATCATTGGTTAAAATCCTGGAACTCCATCCCTAACTGCATTAACAGCCTTCATAATCCTGCATTGTGTTCCTTCCCTTGCCAAACCCAGAGATCACCGGGGAAGTGATATAGAACATATTTGGGGTCTTGCAGAAGATGCTTTCTTTAAAATTCCCTTTTGGAAGGGAAGGGTATTTCACTCCATTTTATCTCACCCTGCAGATCACCAGTCATACTATTTGTTCCTTACAGGATTGAGTTATGTCAGATAATTCTGGTCTACTTATCAAATAAAGAGCGATTTAATGTTTGAGAAAAAAAAAGAAGTCTTCAAACTAGAAACTCGTGTGGTTAATGAACTTGCTTCCACTTGGAGCTGCAAATTTAAAATGTGCGCGTGTACAGCAAAAACAAAGTGCAAGTTCGTTCTGCTCCTCCATGATCTCCACTTCACTACTCCAACATTCTCACATCTTAGAAGCAACCTGAAACTTTAGCTTTTCCAAAGCTTTGTTGCTGTCACTCTATTATACGCCAGTTTCGAATGCTACCACCTTTGCTCCCAGTTCCATGGCCTTAAATTTACATTCTTGTGTTTAGATTGCTTCATGGTCTCAACCGTCTTTCTCTCGGTAACCTCCTCCAGTACCATCACCTCCCTACAATCATTCTAATCCACTGCCTCTGGCCCCAACATCCCACCAGTGATGACAATAGCTTCACCTTCTAAAACATCACAAGAACCAACATCCTCCCCCCCCCCCCCCCCCCCAACATGGCACCCCTGCCCCGCATTACCACCTACCTTTCCAACTTCAACATCCACCTTAAAATCCAACTTTTTAATTCCTGCATTTCATAGTCTAGCCTTTAAGGAATTTAAAAACAATAGTAAGTCACTTAGCCACAAATTTGACCCTCCAAGAAATTGCAAGTGTTTCCTTTTCCTTTCGTACAACATATCTGTTTTCACTCAAACCTTGCAAAGTATCTGAGAACACTCACTGCATTAATGTTCAACAGACATGTAAATTGTTTCTCTTCTCACCTGTGCACAAAGTACTTACACTAAAAGGCTTGCTGTTTCCTCTGTAGGAGGAACCACCAGTTAAACACTTGTTCACAAAGCTCAAAGGAAATGTGTATTAAGGCAATACTAAAAACTTTGCCTATTGAGAGTGAGTCTAATTGACTCTGGCATCTTGATTTAATTTGCTGCATTAATTTATTGAGCAGGCTTAAAAGGCAGTTTACTTACCAGGAACATGTGGTGCTTTGTGATCTATCATGAAGGCATCAGATAGCCCAACTTTAACAGGGTGCTCTGCAGAATTTATCTGAGTCACAGTTATTGGAACCTAAAGAACAGATTAAAGAGCAACATAAATGCCCATCCATTTGTTTCATCTACATTAGCAGGTAATGCTGTGAAATGGCCATTCTGTTCTCTCTGACACTTTACCTATGGAGCTATGAAGCTTCATGGCTTTCTTTCTCCCCACATAGTTGATGCCACAGAAGTTAAGAAAAAGACCATAAAGTCAGTAACTCCATGATTTAGGAACAATATTTTGAATCAAGCACTTATTTTTACTTATTCATCTTTTAAATTACAAGGCATTGTCCTTTCATGTGTCTGTGTGCATGTGCCTGTATGTGTCCAATGAAGGTTTCTCATCTCAGAATTGCTAACAGAAGCTCTGTTGAACTGCCAAAGAAAAGAACAAATGATTGGTAAAATATTGATGGAAGTCTCATTAAAATAAATCTTAACTCAACAAGCAATTGTTTCCATGCTAAAGGTTTACTACAAAGAAGCTGGAGGTAAAAAGGATTTGAAATTGAGTGCTTGCTAGCACACTTCATCTTCTGTCATGACTTAGCCTTCAAGATTGATGGGTCAGGTTTGCTCTTCCTGCTGACTGTGGGATTCCTAGCAAAATAATTTGTCAAAATTTGGATCCAGTACCAATTCAGCATGAATCCAGAGTGTGAATCTATCCACAAATTAAACTGGCAGACATGGAAACAGGAGAAGTCTTACTATGGAGGCAAGGTGTCAATCCTCTGATATTGGAATGCATTGATAAGACAAAGAACGTACATCTGCAATTGTGAGGTCTTTTGGTACCGTGGTAAAATATCTACTCTGAGTTAGTGGTTTAAAGTTCAAGTCCCACTCCAGGCCTTGATAAAAGAAACAACAAGTTGAGCATTGGCTTCTAAATCCTTCCAACACACAACATTGGTAAGTGAAAATAATGGGATAGATTACTGGTCAGCCATCTTCAGAAGTTCTTGCAGTATTCTCCCAAGCATAACCATTGGCCAACACAAGTCCATGCTTGCCAATGCCCTTTTCAAGGCATGGTGCCTGAAGAGTGAGTGAGGTAGATCTTCATTCTATATCATCAACCAGCTTCCCAATGACTGCAAAATGAACCCTTCTCCCTGATACCCAGCCCCCAAATACCCTAGTCTCTCAGTCCCATTTGTGTTCTTTTGTTAACTTGTTCTGCTTGACTGGAGGCTTGGCAAGGGACAGTTCTTAATTCTACTAGACCATTGCTAAATCAGAATATCAAAAGATTAAGATATATGCAAATTTGATGTTGTTTTATGGATAATCCATGTTATTATCTACCAATCTTAGAACTTTGCTGTTCTATATCTAACCTGTTCTACAGTCAGTCTGGGAGCTCTTGGTTCTAACACAATCTACTAAAAAATTCAGTCCCAAGTACATTTTGCCATGGAAACAAAATGCTTCAGACTTTTGGTTCTTTTATTCTACTGTAAAGAATATTTTTAAAAAACTAAGAATGAAACAGTGAACAAGTACTTCTACAAATTTCTTTGGAATAAACCGTCAATATTCATTTATGACCATTTCAATTACAATTGTCTCATTTCATATCCAAGAACAGCTCATGGAGTGCAGGTCTGTTGAGGAAAGCGAACGACAAATCTTTTCACATGAAGTAATGTCTCCAGAGTTGGAATCAAATCACAGTGATCAGTTCTGAACATGGATATATTGTCATAGAAAGTCATGTATCCAAATTTGCCAAAGGCACAAAGTTAGGTGGTACTATAAAAAGTGTAGGTGATCAACTATTGTTAGAGTAAACGAATAGGCAAAATAGTGGCAGATGGAATTCATTGTGAGTAGGTGTGAGATTATCCATTTTGGACCAAAAAGGATAGATCAGGGTACTTTGTACTGTACGTATGCTGCAGGCCTGGTAACATTTGTAGAGAGAGAAACAGAGTTATCATTTCAATAGCCTTTCAGCTGAACTGAGAAAATTTGAAAAATAAGCAAGTGAGGGTCTACTGTTTTCAGAAGACCCTTTTTCCTGTAATAAAAACAGAAAGTGCTGGTGACCTTTCATCTGTTCTTTCTCATCAGATAAAGAGTTATTGTTAAAAAGCTAGTCAACAGAATAACCATTGAAATCAAGGTATAATTAGATTTACTTTCCTTGTACTCCATCTCATCTGTTTTTTTTAGTTTTTAGGTTTATGTTTGAGAGAGGAGGAATTTGCTTTCCCATTCCAGCTTATCCCTCACATACTCACATCCTTGTAGCTGAACACAATCCGTCCTTCTTGACACAACATGGCCTGAAAGGTGAAACTTCCAATATCCTCCCGGTCTGGCAGGAAGACTTTATCCCACTGGACGACAAACGCAGTCCCTAAAGATTACAAAGAGGATGATAAATGTGATGTTTGAACATTCACACTCAAAGCTTAAATGAACTAGAACTCTATCTGTTTAACTTTTGCGGGCTGCTGATACGAAGAGTTCAGAATCCAACAGACTATCTCTTACTACTCCTGTTCCACATGACATGCTTTTCCAGACGCAGCTGAGAAATGCTCCCTACTGATACACTTATACATTACAGTTTAGTTCTTAGCTGTAATATATATCATTGGAACAGTGAGAATCAGCATAGAAAAATACTGTGTGTGAGACTGAAAACTGCTTCCTCAATCTTGAAAGGAACTGAAATACTCAAGATTGAGAGTACGATAGTAACAGTTATATGTGCAATTGAGAGAATCTAAGTGCAAATCCCACGGCAGCTTTCGAATTTAAACTCAGTTTGAAATGAACTGGAAGACTGGTATCAGTGAAAATATCACAAAGCTGTCAGAGTACCACAGAAGAACGTATTATCTTTTAAGGAAGGAGATGAGATGTTCTTACCCCTTTGGGTTAGATCGGATTCTAATCTGACATTAGTGCACTTGACTCCTGATGTGGCTCAGCAAATCACATTGTTGTATCAAATCATGAACAGTGGTTCAAAAAGGCAGAGCACAATTGTCACCTTCACTGGGCAACTAGGAATGAGAAATAAATACTGAACGTCCCAATGACACCAATGGGATTCATTTTTAAATATATCCTAGGAGGTATGTTAACGTGCAAAATGTCATAGAAGCAAGTAGACTTGAAGAAACCCATAACTAGTTAAGAAAAATAATTGAAGATTAAAATGTGGAACTGGAAATTAACATTGTTCAATGAGATGAATGGAGAAAAAGCCCAAACTGGTTTGTTACAAAGGTCACAATAGTCGTAAAATATAGACAACCAATTTTAAACTTCGATCATCTGATTTTAGGAACTGGGACCTTCACGGACTAAAATGGGTTCTAAAAGGAAGAAACATAGATCTAAAATGACTGCAGCACTCACCTGATCACAGACTGAGGCAAGCTCAGGAAAGAACAAACTTGTCTGAGCTAAAGTTACCATTTTATCTAATGACATTGAAACTAGTCACTGAGTTAGGAATCTAGAAATGCACATCTTCTATTTCAATTTACAGCTTTCTGACAAGTTGCATGAAAGGTTGACTGCAACATTCTAGCTTAGAAAGACATAGAAATCACGCTTGCAAATGTATAAATAAAGATATTTCCATAGTCACTTGCCAGAGCCATAGACAAAGAAAAATGTGTTGGTAATAGAAAAGACTAGAAGACTCTCTGTCTTTTCCTGTTTCTTCCTCATCATCTCAAAACACAGCACCAGTGATAAAACAAAGCAAAGAAACATCCTTTATCTAAGAACTCAAGGATTCTACATATTTAGGTCCTGCTGAGGATATGAGGTGTCAGCTATTCAGCAGTGGTCTCAGGTTCAGCTACAACAACGCAAAGTCTCAAGAAATATTGAAACTGCATACACTTTATCTTCTTGCTGTACCTGCCACTCTCCTCCTTTTGAAATTTTATACCTGTGCTTGTGTATGTGTCAGATTTTGTGTTTTATTATTTTTCTGGGGAATAGTAGGCAATACAATTCATCTTTCATTCACTCAGGAAAATCATGCAATTGACTCCTTAATTCTGACCGAGTGATGATATGTTTTCTTCGACATGTCGTACAGCTGTGCGCAAAAAAAATTACATTTTCACCAACCATCCAGAGGTGGGAGCTCGGAATGGAAACTGGGAGCTGATTCACCCCTCCTCACCTGGTTGAAACACAAGAAATAAAATCATAGAATCCTTACAGTGTGGAAGCAGGCCATTTCACAAGTCCAAACTGAGCCTCCAAAGAGCATGCCACCTGTACCCACCACATTACCCTGCATTTCCCACGGCAAATCCACCCTAAGCTGCACATCTTTGGACTGTAGGAGGAAACCAGAGCACCTGGAAGAAACCCACACAGACAGAGGGAGAATATACAAACTCCACCTGAGGCTAGAATCAAACCCAGGGCCCTGGCACTTTGAGGTGGCAGTGCTAACCACTGAGCCACCACGTCACTCCATAATAGGAGGAAATTCTTATCTGACTGTCTATAGTTCTAACATAATTATAAAAAAAGATTTACTGTTATTTACCATTGTGATTTTATCATTGTACAGATACTTGTTGCATTCTTTAAAGAAGCTATTCCTTACTCCTCAAGATTATTGCAATTCTCTCTTTATAGCTGTGAAAGCTTTTTAGAAGAAGCAGCAGTCAATTAAAATCTGACAGAAATCTTACTATTTTACTTGGATAGAACTCAAAATTAGAATTCTATCACACTGGGATTTGACTTCTAATCTAACACTAATTCTTTTTAATGTGAAACCCAAGTTATTATCAAAATTGATTACAGGGATAATAACATTTAGACAGATGAAATATTGTAACTCTTACTTGAAAGAAAAATGTTCTAATTCCTAGCAATTGTTGCTTGGTAAGATTGCTGTTAAAGAAATAAGGTGCATTGTTCTGTTTAAAGGATCAAATGATAAATACAGATGAAAGGCTTACAATTCAATTTAGCTTACCCATCCAGACAAATCTTCAATCTTCACAGCATCCAACTGTGCCTTTGATATTTATATTGCAATTTGTGAATTGCTACTCTGAATGCTAAACACTGATGTAGAACTGACTCTTAAATGAAGTGGAGTGAGATTTTCTCCTCCTGATTGCCCAACATATCTTACCTAAGCACATCTGAGTATAATACAGGCTTTACAATGAACCACTGCATAAACTGCACCAATATACTGGGGGATGGTGGTGCACGGTAATGTCACTAGACTAGAAATCCAGAGGCCAGACTAAAGCTGTGAGGACTTGGGTCATATCCCACCAGAAATAATCTGAAATGTAAAGCTGGTTTCCAGATGGTGACCAGAAAACTCTCTCTGATTGCTGCAAAAGCCCATCTGGTTCATTAATATCCTTTAGGGAAGGAAATATGCCACCTTTACCAGGTCTGTCCTCACACGTGGCACCAGACCCCCAGCAATGCCCTCTGAAATGACCTAACAAGGGCAATTAGGGATGGGCAAAAAATGTTTCCTAGCCAGTGACACTCAAATCCCATGAAAGATTAAAAAGAAACTATTTCATAACAGTAATCAATGTTATTGGGCAAGGTCAGAAGTCTCACAATTCCAGGGGTCATAGTTCAATAGGTTTATTTGAAATTATAAGCTTTAGAGCGCTGCTCCTTTGTCAGGTTCACATGACCAAGGAGCTACACTCTGAAAGCTTGTGTTTTCAAACAAACCTGTTGGACTATAACCTGGTGTCCTGTGACTTCTCACTTTGTCCATCCCAGTCCAACACTGGCACCTCCACATCAATGTTATTTGGGTCATTCTATTCTGAAGAGGATGGAGCCAATGCAGCAAACTCATTGGGTTATTATACTCCTCTTCCTGCCAGTTTTGTCATCTCTTGAAGATACTGACTTTTACCAGTTAATCCAAATCTCCAGGCTATTCCTCTGGGACATGAGCTCAAATCACACCACAACATTCTCAGTAGTAGTGACCATGAAACTACCATCGATCTGGTTCACTAATGTCCTATTGGGAGGGAAATCTATCATCATCACCTGGTGATGAGTTTAAACAGGAGTTTCAGATCCACAACAATGTGGCTGACTCTTAACTGCTCACTGAAATGACCCTGGTGAGACATTCAGTTCATGGGCAGTGAGGAATGGGCAACAAAGAAGGTCCTAGGGATTGGAAAAGAATATTTAAAAAATAAAGTGCAATTGTCCATTATCTATGGCCTACATAAATACATCATATTTATCCTGCATTGTGACAATATGTAAACATCATTGGGAGGGTTTGCAGAATGAAATGACAGCAGCATCAGTATCAAATCTAATCTTGGAATCACCAAAGTTCAGCAGGTATACCACATGCTGAACAATGATCAGTGAAAAGCACACAGAGTGGTTTCTCCAGCATCTTAACCCAAAGGTATTACAGCAACTCATTTCCCTTTGTTGATATGGTGACTCAACATGGGATGGGGACTGAACTCAGGAAGTTCTCAGCCTTCAGAGCTTAGCTGCTCCCTGCCTTAACCAGTTGAGAGACTACGCCATTTATAATTAGCCCACTGATCTCAACACATGGTTTTAATATCTCACAGATGTAGTGGAGCAATTAGGCAAGAGCTTTAGGGATTACACAACTTGACAAAAAATTGTTTTTTTGGAAAGTTCCAGGATTGTGCAATTATATCTACTGAAATCGATATTACTCAAAAAATGCCCTGTCCTTTAAAAGAAAAATATTCAAATACGTCGCAATCATTCTGTTTTTTGGAACTGGTGAAATGGCAGACTCACTGAACCCAGTTAGAGTGGCTGTTCGTTTCTTTTTTCACTTTATTGACCGCTTTTCGCTCTCCAACCCCTTCGGTCATGGTGATGTCATCGCGCTCCTGGCCAGGGAATGTGGCCCCTCTTTGTTCAAAGAGTAAAATATGAGTCAGTCTCTGGAGCGTTTCAATGCTCTTTGCAGGTGGAACAAACTTGTTATGACAAGAGACTCAGCGGGAGAGAAAATAAAACGTTCCTTGAGGAGATTATTTAAGAAGATATTTTAGCCTTTTGAGGTTTGTTTTCACCCTAGGTGCTGATTTTTGTTAATTATAACCAGTTCCTATTTTTTGATAGTGATCCAGTGCATGGGAATTCAGGTTGTGTAGAGTTTTGGTCAATTTGCATCAATCTTTGTTTTTGGACACTTGTACTTCAGGAAGGGTGTACCTGCTTTTCAGTGGGACAACCAAAAAGCTCCAATAATATTGGCATGGTTTCTAGAGACAGGTTATGAGAACAGGTTGCATAAATTGGCTTGTATTTCTTTGAGCGTTGCAAATTGAGGCAGTGATCCGATTGAGCTGTTTCAAGAGTTTA